GCTGCTGGTACGGGGGGACCTTAAAGGGGGGTGTTGGTGAGCCGTGTGTCTCTTCAGGTGTAGGGTTTTTTTTTTTTATATTTGCTGACTTTAACTTGCTTCCTTTTTGTTTACTTTAGTGGTAGAATAAGAGCTTTGGAGAGGAATAAGCTGACGAAGAAGACTTTAGAACTGGCACAGCAGTTCTTCTTGCCCCCGTACACTTTCCAGATCCGAGTTGGTGCTCTGTACCTTTTGTACGGGCTCTATAATACCCAGCTTTGTCAGCCAAAACAAAAGGTAATTGTTCGTGAGGCTTTATTCTCAGGAGATACTAGACATAAGCTATATGGCATACTTCTGTCTTCATATGCTTTGTCATTATAAATGTGAAGGGCGTTTTCTCTCACTTCCATGAAATAAAAATATTTACAACCAGATGCTTCCTTTGGAAAACGTAGCCTTTCAAACACCTTTGGGTTTGAGAACTTAGGTAGTGGTGACTAATAAATTGTAGTTGTGGTCTCAGAAATCTCATTTCTCAGATAGGAAGCTCTTCTCTGTTCAAAAATGAAGAAGACTAGCTTTCAGGATGGGAACAGAGAATGTGCTCATCAGTGTAGGGTGGACTCCATTACAGCCCCAGTTATTCCTTAGAATTTCAACTGAATGAAGACTGGATGAGTTATTTCCAGTTCCTATTAACCGGAAGTGGAATTCGTAAATAGGTTGAAAGGGTGAATGCTTGAATGACATGCCTCCTTGCTGCTTTTAGGACAGGAGATCAGTATGTAAAGGACTTGGAAGCTCAGTGCAAGGCGAAGTGCTTTACTTCGAAACTGTGTGATATATGTAGTGTCCATATGCACAATTGAGTCTAAATTCTTTAAATAAGAAACTCGAGTTTAAGTAGTCTACAATGATGCCATTGTGTCTCATATCAAGCTAAGACTTAAGAGGAGGCAGTACCTTTTATGAAGGTGAATTTAGGTAATTTTAAAACCACTGTTATACAGCAGCTGTTAGAGAGTACAGGAGTTATCAGAGAAGCTAACTTGAGAGAAGATTAAGTGGGCAGAGTAGATACGAGAGGAGTGAAAGCAAGAAATAAGGGAGAGATACATCTATGAGCGTTTCACTGGCAGCAAATCATGGTATGAGTTTCCTGATCATCTGGTGAATGGGAGTCTTCCTGGGTACATATTGTTTTTCAGACACTTATAGAATGTGAAGAATTAACATTTTCAAATGTTGAAAAGGACTTGTGTTCCATGTCACTGCCAAAGAAAGCTGCAGTGAGAATATTTAACGCAACAGTATAATAAGCTTAACTGCATAAAATTTTGATAGTAATAACAAATGTTATAGTAGGATCCTTTCTGTAGTTCCGTGATCATGTGACATGCTACACCCTAGGTGTCCAAGTGGTGTACGTAGTATGACATGATCACAGTAGTCAGCTGAATTAATTTTTATTTATTGAAATATGCAGGTTGATATAACAATATGTAACTGTTATGTTGCAGATCAGAATTGCACTCAAGGATTGGCCTGAAATCCAGAGATTTCAACAGGATCTGATCAACTCCCAGCATTATGATGCAGCATACATCTTTAGGACACTGCGACTTGCCAGAGCATTCCATTTCACAGCAATGCCAAAGCTAGTGAGTTATTACATTGATGACTTCGCAATTTTAAGAAAATATCTTCAGCTGTCAGTGGCTAACAGTTCAACAGCACCCGGGTATTCAGTTTAGCTTTGAGGCTCTGCTGAGGTGTAATATATCTTGCTTTATGTAGCTGGGTATGTGATGTAAAGCTTAGAGGATGTTTGAGTGGAGCATGCTTCTTGCTTGAAAATATTTTTTCAGTATCCGATGTTCTTATTAGATTTGAGATGTCTTATCATTTGTGGAAATGAGTCTGGGTACTGGATTAAATTCTTGACTAGGAAATAATTTTTGAAAAGTGCTGGCTCTGAGCACTTGACAGTAAAGCTGCATGCTACTGTTGATGAGATGGCTTTATGCCTTTCAGCACCTCTTGATTGTTGGATACACAGTAAGAATTCCTAGGAGGCAGTGCCATTTTAAGTTTGCTTTTAGGTTACAAAACATTGTTTCTTGCTTTAGCTAAACTACAGAACTAAGAAGAAGATTCAGGAAAATGAATTTAAAGAAGAATTTAAGGACCCAAGTAACAGAGTAAACACCCTCATCACTAATGATGTGTTGGAGGTACAGTAACTTTTAAACTGCAGATTAATCACTGGGGTTTGTTTTGTTTTTCTTCTGTTGTCCAAGAGCTATAACTTTTCTAATTAGCACAGTCTTGTCCTTTGAAGTCTTCTTATGGAATCAGGACTAGGGTAATAGCCTGTAATTTTTCCACACACTCAGAAACGGCATTTATTTTGGAAGAATTATGGTACCTTTTTCAATACTGAAATATGCTGTAATGTTTTGCCTCAGTAAGATGTAAAAGGCGGAGAGTATAAATGGTTAATTGTCACTTGAGGAGAGAAAAATGGAAAATGGTGTGTGGGGTGAAACATGGGGTTTTTTAATATGTCTGCATGGTGCAGCTGGAGGCTTGATACTTATCTGAAACTAGATAGCCTTCTCTAACCTTTACTTCTCCTTTTAAAACTTGGTTTTGTTTAATATGTAATACATTTTATAAAAAATTGAGTAATTCAAGCCAGATGTAGGTTTTTATGTTGCTAATTATGACTCAGTAGTAGATCTTTGTGTGCAGGTTTTTCCAGTTGCTGCTAGCAAATATCAGTAAGGTTGACTGTGATAGAAAAATCAGTAATCTGTGAAATGATGGGGTGAGAAGATCTGCTTCCTCAGAAGGAGGAAGTAAAATGCTTCCTCCAAAGAGATGAAAATAGAGTCCCGTGTCAGGATGAAACCCCTATGAACGCTGATCCTGATTATCACTGAGACTTCCTTCTTCATTTAAATAATACAAGATACTCTTTCTTCTTTTGCTTATTTGTTGGACTGATGGAACAGTGCTAGGTAGCAGTATTGCTAGGCTCCCTAAAACTGAACTGATCTAACTAGAATCTAACACCCCTGCTAGTTCAATGGTCTCCTTAGAATGGCTTCTGTAGCCTTGGTTTTGGTCGTTGAGGGCTAATATTGCTTTACTGCTGGAATATTTTTTTTTTTTCCTGAAAAGAGCCTCTTTTTTTTTTTTATTTTAGGAACTGATGAATATTCATGACCACTATCAGAAAATGAAGTGTGTAATTTCAGCTGACAAATCCCAGCCAGACAAGGCCCTGAGTTTGATAAAAGATGACTTTGTAGTTACTCTTAAAGACATAACCTTGGAACATCAGGAATGGCAGCAGAACAGAATGGTAGGTAATATCAACCATTATGCTGTGGCAACCTAACAGATTGCATGAACATGTAGGAAGTGTCTTTCTTAGTGTAATCACCTCTGAACAGACTTTGTAAATCTCAGACTTAGGTAGAAGGAACTGTAACATTGAAGATGTGCAAAGAGTAAAACCCTAGGTAGAGTTATGGTATGGGGGAAAGGACATGGATTTGTGTGGTACTGCCTCTGTGATAACATAAATGATTGCTGAGAGGTAAGCCCTGGAAGGTGTGACTTATGAGCAGTATTAGAATGACCATATGAAATACCTCTGTAACACTAATTCTTGGATCAAGGAAAGGGCATAGTGTAAGATCGATGAAGAAAAAGGGCATGTGTGTAAATTTTTGTTACGTTTTTCACAATTCTTGGATTTTAGCTGTCTTGTATATGACATATATTTTAAAAAATATTTTTATTTTCCAGAAATTATTCCTAAATGCTAAAGAAACTGATGAAAAATCAAACAAAAAGGAAGAAGGGACTTTGCTAGAATCAGAGGTAAGAAAAAAAAACTAGTTTGTTACATTGTGCAGGCCAAATCTGTTAGATTTTTGACTTCCAGTCACGGACTAAGTAGTCTGTGTCAGGGCTTGATAGTGTCAAATAAGTTCCAGGAATAGCCAGAGGGGCTGGTTGGTTTTTCTTGTTTGGTTGGTTGGTTGGGTTTGTTTTTAAATGGCATTGTTTTCTGTTGACCTGTGAGCATTCACTGCTGTGATGGCTCTTAGATGCTCATAATAAAAAGTCTTCTTTCAGGTAAGGTGGGGGGAAAGAGCTGTGTTTTTTGTCCAAACTCCTTTATGGTTCTTCCTGGAGTTTCAACTAAATGCAATATCCATTTTTTATGCTACAAAATTATCTCATGTTGTACTTATCTGATTACTTCAACTTTGAACTTGAGTATGATGTGAAATTTCAAATTTGATTTTCTTCCTCCTGGGCTTTGTAACAGTGAAGGCAACCAAAATTATGCTCTTCCTTTCTGATGAAATTTGAACTTTTTTTTTTCTTTAAGTAACAGTTTGGCGGCATTCTAATTATATAGAACTAGTTACACAGTTACAGCTGTAGTGAGATCTTGCTCAGGTGGTTGTCTGATGTGATGTTTCATTTCAGTACTGCTATAAGAGTATGAAAACTTTTTCTGACTGATCTCTGGTTTCTTTGCAGGGTTCTGAAAGAGCGAATGCATTGGCTAGAATCAAATACAGGTCTTACTCTGCAGTTGTTGAGGTAGGTAAAGATTTCATCGTAGGGATGCATTTATTTTTAAAGAACAGTTTTAAGTACCAGTTTAATGTAAATGCTGGGTGACAAAGGAATGAATTAAAATTGCACTCTGGAATTCAACCTTTAAATGTTCTAGTTTTCCTGACTCATTGGGGAAATCTGAAGCTTTTATTATTTTGTTTGATTTATGGAAACAGTGCTGATATGGTCTATCCTTGGGGGATTTTATTTTAAAAGTTATCTTTCAGTGTCTATGCTCTGTTTAAATAGATGGGATTTTAAATAGATGGAATAAAAATACCTGCAAATTTAATTGCTCAAATTCCTTGAAGCTTAGATACTGTAATCTCTGAATATGCTTGCAAAAATGGAACTTGGGGATTTAAAGTCAGTTGGAAGTTCTTGGAAACATTGTTTCAATAACTGCTACTTTAAAAATCATAGAATCATGGAATCATTAAG